AGACTAGAAGTTATAGAACTACCTAAGCTAAAATGACACCAGAGTACATGCTCATACACATACCTTCCAGAAAGATTTGTACAAAGGTTTACTTTTGTTCACTTCTCATCATTTTCAGAAAAATATTTCACTACGAAATTCTAAACTATCTTCCCCAGAACTTTCAAAAAGCCTCTACAACAAGGTGAAGAAATTCCAGGCCAGAGAGCAGATCTGAAAAATAGCCTAAATTTCATGTCATCCAGGGCAAAGCTTTTAAGACCACATATCTACTGCTGCTTTAAAATCAACACATACAACCATGCAGGTATCTGAAAAGTCTCGGCATCCTGCCAGGCCCACTCTCCATCCTTAGCATCTGATTCTCATGGCACTTCTCAAATTAGAAGTCATGAGGACAAAAAAAAAATCAATTTCTAATGGGCAGCTGTGATGAAGGTGGCTACAATGCTAGGTGGCTGTGTTGTGGATAGAAAAGATATTACCCAATTGTTATCACATAACCCTGTACCTTGCTAGTTCAGGCCACCCACACCTGTTAAGTTGGAGGTAGTCCCACCATCCACCTGACTCTACAAGCAATTTGTACCACATGGTTTCAAATTTCCATTCTACCTGTTGTGACCAAGAGGCAGATGCAGGATGCTAGATCCACACAATGAGAATAAGCTCCTGTGCTGGTGCCCTTGGCAGCTGTTCCACTCCAGGCGGAGCCAAGTTGTTCGGAATTAGTGTATGCATCTTGCCCAGCTTTAGACTCACACGGTTGGGTAAGGGGGATATTTGTTCCTGCAGTAACCGAGGATCGAGCCACATAAAAAGATCTGACAAGTGGAAATAAGGAAACTGGCCCCAACCTGGTCAAGCAGGGTTAGGGTCCAAGATCAAAACCAGCAATGTGAACGACTGCACGGGTCAAGCCAATCATATTCACGGTGTGGAACCAAGAAGGAAGGAATCCTGGCTCTTTCAAAGGTACCAGGAGCTAAGATGGGTGTATGAAGAACATAGAATACATAGATATCAAATGTGATTCAAGTGAAAGGAAAGTAGACTTAGAGCTACTTTGAGGCAGTAGAGATACTATACCAGTGGTTCTCAACCTTCCTAATGCCGAGACCCTTTAATACAGTTCCTCATGTTGTGGTGACCCCCAACCATAAAATTATTTTCGTTGCTACTTCATAACTGTAATTTTGCTACTGTTATGAATCGTCATGTAAATATCTGATATGCAGGATGTATTTTCATTGTTACAAATTGAACATAATTAAAGCATAGTGATGAATCACAAAAACAATATGTAATTATATATGTGTTTTCCGATGGTCTTAGGCGACCCCTGTGAAAGAGTCGTTCGACCCCCAAAGGGGTCGCGACCCACAGGTTGAGAACCGCTGTACTATACTAAACAAACAGGATTAAGGTTAAGACTTGGGTGGATGTATTTGGGGAGCAAAATTAGGGATACAGCACTAAAAGAGAATAGCTTATCTGCAACATGAAATACTAGAAGACAACAAAGATGGTCTATAGTTTCTTAGGGAAAAACTCTTTAAAACCAGAATTCTATGCCCAACAGTGATCATTCAAGTGTGCAGACAAAACAAAACAAAAACCCCAACTTCATTTAAGGGCATGTAAGGTAAAAGCATCAGGCATATGCTGTTGCTTTATCAGACATGATAAATAATGCACAACTAATGCAAAATATCAATTTCATTCTGTCTCTAGTTACTTGAGACTATACCACATGCATTATCTTATCTGCAAATGAAGGTAGTACTTTTACTCAAAGCCATTGCTAAAGACTGAATTAAATTTCCTTGGAAGTAATACACATGTAGTATGTTTATCTACCTCTGTCTTTTCTGTTTTCCATCATAAGTACTTTTAAAATATAAAACCAATTTAATTTGCTGCTTCCTTTCTACTTATCAATCTAATCAATCAAGCCAAGTGTAAAATGGCAAAAATTGTTTGCACTTGCCATTTGCCCAAACACACAAAACTTAAGAACTCCTTGATCTTAAGATGACATAGCACTGAGGGGACTGAACCACCTCTCTTCTATTATACTGGTCCACTTCCTGCAATATTGTATAATTAGGAACAAGAGACAAGGTGATGTTATGTATATCAGCACTTACTGAAATACTAATTAAATGCTTTAATAATCAAACAACTACGTGAACATAATCCAATGGGATCATATTATTCCCATGTAATTATTGTTTTACCAGAAACAAGTTAGTACAAAAATGTCTTTGAACTCCAAAAGGTACATGAGCATTTCTCACTGTTATTTCTTGTAGCAATAATATGTATCTGCTGTAAATGCCTCAAAGAACAGAAGGATTTGGAATTTACTTTCATGATCACTACACCTTACACAATATTTACTCATTCAACAAATGATCTCTGAGCAGCTATGGAAATGTTCAGAAGAGTCACAAGGATAATTCAAAACAAAAAGTAGCTGCCCAGGCCCCGGACAAGTGGCTCGGTTGGTTGGAACATCGTCCCATACACCAAAATGTTGCAGGTTCAATTCCTGGTCAGGGCACATACCTAGGTTGTAGGTTCAATGCCTGGTCAGGGTCCAGGCAGGAGGCAACCAATGGATGTTTCTCTCTCACATCAATGTTTCCCTCCCTTCCTCTCCCCTTTCTTCTTCTCTATAAACATATCCTCGGTGAGGATTAAAAAAGAATCCCTAAAAGCCTAGAAGTCACCAATATTTGTCTTTGGCAAAGCGTTTGCTATTGTGAAATTACATTTAAATACCAGAATGTGATATCCTCGTGATAACCAACACTTGAAAACTAGATCGTGAAACTTACAAATGGGTCCTGAACAGTTTGGGATGCTATGAGCACAAATTCAGACATCATAAAGAAACAGCTAATGTGTGTTAAATCTCAAGTTAGTAATGGTAATAGCATAGATTAGTAAAAGGCACATGTTTTATAGAGCAATCAACAGAGAAATCACAAACTAAAATCAGCAAAAAATGATGTATCTTCTGCTTTCTTTGGCTGTCCATATTTTATTCTAAGAGTTTTATGGTTTTAACTCTTCTTATATGTTGTTATTGATCCATTTTAAGTTAATTTTCCTATATATGGTCTGAGGAAAGAGTCCCGCTTCATTCCTTTGTGTATAGAAATATAGTTGTCCCATCTATTGAAGAGACTATTCTTTTCCCATTGAATGAACTGGGCACCCTTGCCAAAAATCAATTAGCCATAGGCATATGGATATATTTCTGGACCACTGGTCTAGATTTCTAGCCTTATGACAATATCACACTGTTCTGATTACCACAGCTTTGTAATAATTTCTGAAATCAGGAAGTGTGAGTTCTCCAACTTTGTTGTTTTTTGAAGTTGTTTTGGCTTCTCAGCGCCTCTGGCAATTTCAAACGAATTTAAGGTTCAGCTTCTTCATTTCTGTAAAAAAAAGTCTGTTGGAATTTTGATAGGAATAGCTCTGGGTGATACTGACATATTAACAATATTAAGTCTTCCTACCCATGAACCTGGGATATATTTATTTAAGTTGTCTTGAATTTCTTTCAGCATGGTTTTATAATTTTTAGTATTCCAGTCTTTTGCCTCCTTGGTTAAATTTATTGCTAGTTATTTTATTCTTTTAGATGCTATTGTAAATGGAATTGCTTTCTCAATTTCATTTGCAAATTAATCATTGCTTGTGTGTAGAAATACGACTGACTTTTGTACCTTGCAAGTTTACTGAATTAGTTTATTAGCTCTAGTAGCTTTCTTGTAGATTCCTTGGGATTTTCTACACATAGGAGCATGTTACCCGCGAAGAGAGACAGTTTTACTTTTTCCTATGAAGTCTAGTCACCTTGGCCTCCTCAGACTCCCAGCCCCATCTTCTCAACTCAGGGAGCCTGGCAGCCTCCACCTGGGTTCCCCCTTGCACTACAGCCTGGAAACCCTTTTCAGGTGATAAACTGGGGCAATCATAGGGTTCATGTTATTTATTTCTCATCTCTCGAGATCACTGTACTTTCACTGCCTTAAAAATCAGTTTAATATATTTTTGTCTTGTTTATTCTTTGTTTCGGGTGTTGTGATGGTTAATTTTATTTGTCAACTTGACTGGGCCACTGGGTACCCAGACAATTCATCGACCTTATTCTGGGTGAGTCTATGAGGGTGTTTCTGGATAAGATTAATACCTGAATCAGTAGAGTAGAGCAGACTGCCCTCGCTAATGTGGCCTCATCCAATCAATTGAAGACCTTAAGACAGCGGTTCTCAACCTGTGGGTTGCGACCCCTTTGGCGGTCGAACGACCCTTTCACAGAGGTCGCCTAAGACCATCCTGCATATCAGATATTTACATTACGATTCATAACAGTAGCAACATTACAGTTATGAAGTAGCAACGAAAATAATTCTATGGTTGGGTCACAACATGAGGAACTGTATTTAAAGGGCCAGAAGGTTGAGAACCACTGCCTTAAGAGAACAAAAAGGCTGAGTAAGCAGGAACTCCTCCTGCCCAACTGCTGAAGGAGTTGAACATCTCTTCAAATCCCCGATTCCTTCAGTCTTCCTGCCTTCGGACTCACACTGAAACATCGGCTCCTCTTGGGTCTTGAGGCTGCTGGCCTTGACTAGAATTTACACCAGTGGCTCTCCTGGTTCTCAGGCCTTCAGACTCTGGAACTATATACATTGGCTCACCTAGGTCTCCAACTTATTGGCTGCAGAACTGGGGAATTCTCAGCCTCCATACTTGTGTGACCCAATTCCTTATAATAAATCTCTTTATATGTATTTGTGTGTGTGCGTGTGTGTGTGTATGTGTGTGTGTATAGATGTAGAATTGGTTCTGTTTCTCTGGAGAACCCCTAATCCAGGTGGAATGATAAATCAGTTCCCAGTTACTCCATAGTGACCAGAAATATAAATTTAATGCATTAAGACAATATTTTATTACAAGGCAAGTAATTACAACAACAGTCACGAATACTTCTTTTATTACTTTTCTACAAGATTCATACTTTTGTCACAGCCATGAGGCAAGGTTCTTTGCACTCTGTGAACAAAATGTAGGATACAGAAGGGGAGGAAGCCTGTTGAAAAGAATGGAGGGACAGACTAGGAAACGGTACTCCATATTTTATAAAAACATTTTCATACATTTGTCTCTCATTTCATAATCTGAACAACTGTGAAGCTAAGTTCTTAGGTACTTTTCGTTCCACTGTACAGATATTGGAACTGGTTCAGAGAAATTAAGTGACTTAACCAAGGCAAGATAACAATAAAGGCAGGACTTGAATTCAAAACTTTTGACTCAAAATTATTTGCTCTGATATACAATTCTAAAGTCAGGAAACACTTATTATAAAGACATGTGGCTGAGGTAAAGATTCCTGAAATTTGGGATCAATCAGATCTGTATCAGAAATTCTTTCACTGACCTAATCTTTAACCCACTGGGACCTAAGGATCAATTGATCCTTTCATGTTTTCACTATCCCAATGCCCTCCCTTCCTCCGTTCCTCCGTTCCTTCCTTCTCTCCCATTTTAATGTCATTTTCAAAAGTCAGAAAAGAGTACATGAACAATTTTTATATTCTGCCATTGACATATTTTGTAATCTTCCCTAATCCTAACATTGACCTTAGCAAGTAACTACACACTTGGTTGCTAGTATTTTTATTGTTCCTCTTTGCCCTTCTTTCTGCCCCATGGGTAACAAACAGTGTGTCCCAGCAATACAGGACATTTGTGCACAAAGCAGCTTTATGTCCGGAGAAATGAAACATTCCAAAGGCTTTTCTTACCAAGTCCAGACAAGAGTGACCTGACCCCTGGCATCTCATCTGCAGGCACACAGCTGGAGATGGTGGATAGATAACCTTCAACAGAAGCAAAACTCAGCCCTGGAATTCAGGCTCCATTCTGAGTTTAAGAATTAAACATTTAGAACATTTATGATCTATAAAATGAATCTTCTAAAGGCTGAGCCCACAATTTTTGGCCAATAAGGTGTGAGAGTAAAATACAAAGAACACCTGTTGAAAGCAGTATTCTTAGGGGCAGAAAGAGAATATTGGGGACCAGCTATAATTTTAAGAAATATTAATCATGTTCTGTGTAACCGTGACTGTTTTGTTCTGATTAAAGCAAGCACATTCTAACCTGGCTGGGAGTTGCATGCAGGTCCTGGGAGCTCGCCTGGAAATGAGGCCCATCCTCCTCACGAAAGGGGGGGGGGGGGGGGAAGGGGGAGCTGCTATTATCATGGACAGATTAACATCGTTCCTTGCTTCTTTCTTTATGCAGCTTAGATTTCACGGTTTTTCATTTAAAACAATCCCTTGTACACACTCGATTCACTCACCCCTTTCTTTCTTCAATATAACCTAGACTATTTTCACATTAAACTTACGACTGTTACTAGTAAACTCAAGTGGGTCCTCAGAACTACCTATTTACCTCCCTACTCCAGTAGTTCTCAAACTTTTTGTACATTAGAATAACTCAGAGGGCTTGTTAAAAATCCAGATTGTTTGCCCTCGCCTCCAGAGTTTCTGATTCAGCAGATCTGGGATGAGGCCCCGAAATTTGCATTTTTAACACATTCCCAGATGATATTGATGCTGTTGGTCCGGGGATCACAATTTGCTCGAATCCATTGACTGTCCATTGTCTTAACTGAACATCTCTTCAAATCCCCGATTCCTTCTGCTCCATCCTCACTCTCACTGAGGAAAGAGAAGCAATCAGAAGATCATTTCCACATGCTCCCAAAGTCATATCTACATACTTCCTTTCTGACATCCCCTTCTTAGCCCTTCTGCCCCATCTGCAAATCCTCCTTATTCTTCCTCAAATGCATCAACATTGCACTCCAGAAATTTTGCCCTGGCTACTTGGAATGCTCTTCTCCCCAGATATCTGTATGGTTGGCTCTTTCACTTCCTTCAGGTCTGGCTTAAGTGTCCTCTTATGAGAGAGGCCCTACCAGACCATCCCACAAACCTCCTCACGTGTGCCTGGCGCGCCCTATCCCCGCACCTTGAAATTACTTTTCTCCATGGCATTTATTACCACCTGGTAGTTTACTTACTTGTTTGTCTGTTTATCATCTATGTTGAGACTATAAGTGGATAGTTTACTTAGTTGTTTGTCTGTTTAACACCTATGCTGAGACTATGAGTGGAAGAGAGATAGAGGCAGCCACATTTTCTAGGATTAAGAAAGTTAGTGATAAGAGAATAGATAGCACTGTAATACATTTATCTAAGAAATCTAGCTGTTGAAGAAAGAGAAACGTGAAGCAGCAGGCTCAAGCAGAGGTTTCTAAGGATGCAAAGGAAAGGCTAAAGAAATAGAGGCCAGGACAGGTTTAAGGATGCTGAGAATTGAAAGGATGTATGGGAGACAAGATTGCTTAAATATCTGGACATAATAGGTTCACTCAGCACAGAATTTTGCTTTTGTTTGTAAAACAGGTATCTACTAACAGTGGTTCTCAACCTTCCTAATGCCGCAACCCTTTAATACAGTTCCTCATGTTGTGGTGACCCCCAATTTCATTGTTACAAACTGAACATAATTAAAGCATAGTGATTAATCACAAAAACAATATGTAATTATATATGTGTTTTCCGATGGTCTTAGGCGACCCCTGTGAAAGGGTCGTTCGACCCCCAAAGGGGTCGCAACCCACAGATTGAGAACCACTGTACTAAGAGCTTATTATATGCAGGGCACTGTGGGATACAGTTCATATCCACTGTCACATCTAATTTAGAGGATCTCCACAACAACCCTAGGAAGTAGGAATTAACATCTAGGCCTTTCTGTACATAATCAGTGACCACCTACTGACAGAACTGTCCACTCCAAAAATAAAATACAGGCTTTTCCTCCCAGTTCCATCCTTCCTTTCTCCCTTGCCTTACCTATAATTGATCCTACAAGATCTCCAACTTCAGGGTTTCATGCAATCAAATATCAGATCTCAGGAGCAAATTTTTGTGAAAGGGACTGAACCACCTATCTACTACCTCAGGTGGTTAGGAAGCTGCCCACACAGGTAATCAATTGCTTGTGCTTGGAGCATCCAGAAGTCATCCTGACTCACAGCAACCAACTGCTGTTGACTGACTCCATAGTGTTTCATAGCAATTCGCCCCCAGTTGAAATCTTAAAGCTATTCCAAATATCTTTTCATCACACCTGCTACTCCACATCCTTTCTTCCCATTCTTTTTAGTTACCCAATTTTATCCTCAGCCTCTCCACTTTTAGCAGAAAGCCTCCATTCACCAAAACCATAGAAGGTACCCAATAGAAAATGTTTCAGTTCCCCATCCCACCATTTTGAACTTTTATCTCATTCTCAGAAATGTTCTTTTCCTCTATCCCATCACTATTCCTGCAAATGGTAATAATTGTAGGGCTTCCTTTATAACATGTGTATCCCCTTTTCTTGCCTTATCTTACTACAGTGACTGGGACCTCCAAAACAATGGTGATAACAGATATCCTTAACCTGCAGGCCTTCAGTGTTTTCCTCATTTGACGTACTTTCAGTGTTCCCCATTAAGAATGGGTCTGTCTTCTCACATTGCTTATTTTAAACTAGAGGCCCGGTGCACGAAATTTGTGCAGTGGCAGTAGGGGGTCCCCTCAGCCCAGCCTGCACCCTCTCCAATCTGGGACCCTTTAGGGGATGTCCGACTGTCGGCAATTGGACATCCCTCTCACAATCCTGGAATGCTGGCTCCTAATCGCTCACCTGCCTGCCTGCCCGGTTGCCCCTAACTGCCCCCCCCCCCCTGCCAGCCTGGTTGCCCCTAACTGCCCCCCCCTTGCTGGTCTGGTTGCCCCTAACTGCCCCCCCTGCCAGCCTGGTTGCCCCTAACTGCCCCCCCCTTGCTGGTCTGGTTGCCCCTAACTGCCCCCCCTGCCAGCCTGGTTGCCCCTAACTGCCCCCCCCTTGCTGGTCTGGTTGCCCCTAACTGCCCCCCCTGCCAGCCTGGTTGCCCCTAACTGCCCCCCCCTTGCTGGTCTGGTTGCCCCTAACTGCCCCCCCTGCCAGCCTGGTCGCCCCTCGCAGCCTACTGTTCGGTTGTTTGGTCGTCCCTCACTAACCCCCCTGCCGGCCTGGTCGCCCCAGGCAGCCTGCTTGTTCAGTCGTTTGGTCGTCCTCACTAATCCCCCTTCGGCCTGGTTGTAGGCAGCCATCTTGCGAGGGCGTGAGGGTTAATTTGCATATTGCCTATTTATTATATAGAATGTCTCAGTGATGGAACATCCCCAAGGAGTCAGTCCCAAGCTCATCCCAAATTCCTTCTCTGTGATAAAGTTTATCCATACACTATACAACACTATTCTGCTAATACAGAGAAGACCTTAGACACCTACATTACCTTTTTTTAAAACCATATATTATCTTTCTAGGCATTTTAATCACAAGCCGGCTTTTGTTGAAATGCTTATTTAAGTGTCTTCTTTATCATCAAATAATTTTCTTTCTATAATGACTATAAATGCAGGCTATTGCTCATTTTGTAAAAGTACCATATAGGTGAATGGCCTATAAAGGTGAAAGATTTTTAAACTGAACAATATGGTTTAATTCGTGGCCAGCAGGGCCAAATAATTTTATACAAATCTTACTAGAAAAAAAATTAGACAATCAGCTTTATGGTACAAACCAGCCAACAGAAAAACGATTTCAAAAACAATTCTCAAATGTTTAATAATGTATGTTTTTATGACATGACTTTCAGCTGTCGTTTCACCTTCCAGCTAGACTGAATCAGATTTTAACCACCCTTATGGCATTGTACATATGCAGGGAGCAAATGCAAACTACTGAAGCGAAGCAGTGTGTGTAAAAGGGTTCAATTAAATGGTAAAATGTTTCTTGTAAATTAAAGTCATATTAAATAATCATCTTCCATGCAAATTATCTTTCATGGGGTGTTCCAACAATGTGCTTCATCATATGTAGCTGCTTTAATACATGCTTATTTGTAATGCTTGACATAATGAATTCTCTTTTTATTCCTGTAGAAATGAGAATGAAAATTTAAGCATTTTAATTTTTCCTCGCTAGACTGACTTTGTAAATGCACCAGTAAAGAGACACTATTTCTGCATAACCTATAGTGCAGAGAAGGATTTAACCAGATGCACACTACTAGTACTGAGAAGGCTAACCCCTATTTTGTGAAACTACTGCTTGTAATTCTCTGTTATTTTTAGATAGTCCCTTGTTCTATAGGTCAACTCTGTTATTTTTAGACGGTCTCTTATTCTGTAAAATAACTTTATTTTTGTGGGTTTTTTAAAAACGTATTTTGATTTTTTACAGAGAGGAAGAGAGAGTTAGAAACATCGATGAGAGAGAAACATCGATCAGCTGCTTCCTGCACACCTCCTACTGAAGATGTATCCGAAACCAAGGTACATGTCCTTGACTGGAATCGAACCTGGGACCTATCAGTCCGCAGGCCGACACTCTATCCACTGAGCCAAACCAGTTAGGGCAGTGGTTCTCAACCTTCTGGCCCTTTAAATACAGTTCCTCATGTTGTGACCCAACCATAAAATTATTTTCATTGCTACTTCATAACTGTAATGTTGCTACTGTTATGAATCGTAATGTAAATATCTGATATGCAGGATGGTCTTAGGCGACCCCTGTGAAAGGGTCGTTCGACCGCCAAAGAGGTCGCGACCCACAGGTTGAGAACCGCTGAGTTAGGGCAATAACTTTGTTTTTTTAGCTTAAATAATAGAAAAGATAAACTTAACTGTTTGACTGTGCAAGCTAGCCATCTAATGTAAGGGGCTGATATGCTGATACTGATAATATTTTCATGCCAGGTGTTTGTTAGATATGATATGTACTCAAGATTACAAGTTGTCTGTATAGATATGATATGTACTCAAGGTTACAAGTTGTCTGCAAAAATAATTTACACAAAGACCTAGAAGGATATAAAAAGGGAATACTCCTTCCTTTGTTTGCTCAGAATTTGAAAGACATTTTTCTCTGAGCCCACCAGTGTATAATAAAGTGGAACTCCATCACTGTAAACGTTGCTTGGGTTTTTCTCCATTCTTCTGTAACAGTACGACAGTTTATATGAATGTCTGTTGGAAAAATACCATGTTATCCTCTCCTCATAAAAAAGATAAATTTTCCCTGGAGGTCCATAAGCTCACTCACCTAAATCCTTACCTCAAACTTTTAAGGTTTCTAGTTTTAGAAGAATATCACATGCTAAAATGTAACTACACAAAATAGAGATTGTTAGCACAATGCACCGGGGATCCACATATTTCCTAAAATGTATACAAAACTGTATGTTGTATGTGCAAATGTGCATTTTATGAGAATCCAAAAATTTTATCTGATTCTCTCAGGGGCCAAAAATCCACAAAAAAAGATTAAGAATTACCAAATAAAGACAAAAGATACACTATCTCAGTCATGCTTTCATCTTATAGGTACAGAAAATTTGATTGATGTCCCAGTCTATATAAATTTAGTTCTCTTGGTGCTAATACTGAACATTTATCACACAGAACAAAAATTCCTACTAAAAAAAAATCAAACTAAAACATTCAATCATAGTCATTTCTTAAAATCTAAGAGAAATTCTGCATATCCTTCCTGAGCATTCCAGATTATGTGCATATGATGTATCAACCTAAGTCCTGAAAAGAATAACTGTCAAAGGTGTTAAGGGGGAATCGAGTCATGCTACTCCTTGGACCAGAGCCTGGTGTATCAGCACGGAGCTGGGAAAAACAGGCTAATTCAGTGTCACAATTTCATGTTTCATGAAGATTTCTGTAAACATAGTTTCCTTCCCTGACACCCCCAAATGCTCCTAAACATCCTTAGCTTAACTATTAACTAAATCAGAAATTCTAAATTGCATTTTAAAAAATGTTCTCAGAGGTCTTTCCAGTCATTTTACTCTAATGGACTAGGAAAAGTCCAAGGGACCTTCAGGTTCAATTAAATACCGCAACTGCTGCAACAGCAACATATCACTAAGCATGTAAGTACCTGAGTCCTATTAGGAACTTACTACCAAAATTGCCACACTTCTAGCTAATAAGCACAATCCCCAGATTCTATTCAGAATTAACGTGCCTGTAGACACCCTAAGTTACAACCCACGATTCTGCAAGGAAGGCAGAAACATTCCTACAAAGCTAGTGTGGCAGAGATATGGCTGACCATATCTTCATTTATCCAGCTATGTTTAAAACAAAAAAGTAGCAGCTTGAGCAAATATAACTTAGGAAGATTTAGTACTGAAGAAAACAAAATCATCATTACAAAACGATTTCAGATTTCTCAGTATAAAGTAACAGAATCTTATGCAATCCCCAAATAGTCACAAATATAAAATACATCAGGACACACTATGCATATAAAATTACCCTTAACTAAAATAAATACCACAAACAAAAAGGAATCTAATCTTTTTTCACAAAATGCCATAGTACTCCGTAAGTTAAATTTCATTTTTCCATACTTCAAATTTTACCAAAAGCTTTCCCCAAAATTAAGTCACTTTCTAGAAAAAAAATTTTTTTAAGTTAATTCTTAACTATATCCATTATTAGGGGAGGGGGGTCCCTCAGCCCAGCCTACACCCTCTTGCAATCCGGAACCTCTTGGGGGATATCTGACTGCTGGTTTAGGCCCGATCCCGCTAAACTGGCAGTCAGACATCCCTCTCGCAATCCGGGACCTCTAGCTCCTAACTGCTCGCCTGCCTGCCTGCCTGATCGCCCCTAACCACTCTGCCTGCCTGCCTAATCGCTCCTAACCCCCTCTGCCTCCACAGCTTAGTCCGGAATGACGTCTGGAAGGCTGTTCGGCTGTCCGGTCTAATTAGCATATTATGCTTTTATTATTATAGATGTGAGTTCAGTGATCTTCAGCCTCTCTGAAGAGGGGATATTCAAATACTAGAATTTTGGTGGCACACTCCAGAGGACCAGATTACATTCTCACTCATCACTCTCTAGTTGATCCCCTTTCATCACTGTGTGTCTGTTTAGAGTTCTTTACTGCCCTGACCTATATACTCACAAAGCAAAGTTCCTGCATGCTCCAATAAACAAGCCATCCTTCCCAGAGTTGGCTGAATGCCTTTCACCACTCATCCGCCCCATGGTTCATCACATGACCCACCAAGGCCATTCACCAAAGTCACAGTGCTTCTCCTATTGAAATAAAAATAAACATTATTTTCTCCAAAATTTGATAAAGATTTGATTCTATAAAGGGTGTATAATCTACATGCTACAACAGCGCATGACTTGGAGCAAGATGATTAGCTTTAAAATGTTCTTAATAAATTACTATATGTTACCTATAAAGTCAAAGTAGACAGACATATACAGACTTTCAACAGTACATTTGTTGAACTCAACTTTCTCTGGTATCAACCATTCAAATAACTTTCCCTTCTAGATAGTTAACCTTAATAATCATTTCTCTTAGGTCCTCATTTCATCTTCACAGCCCTATGAAGTTTATACAGTCGTCCCCTGGTATCCACAGGAGACTGGGTCCAGGGTGCACGACAGATACCAAAATCTGCAGATGCTCAAGTCCTTTTACTTTCTGTTCCCTCTGGCTCAAATGCTCTTCATTCAGCTACCTATACATCAAGCCCTTTCATGTATTTTCGGTCCTTACCCAAAATTCATTTTCTTGGTAAGGCCTCTTTGCCTATCTAAATTGTCAAGCCCTGACCCTGAGATATTTCATAAAACCCTTCCCTGCTTTTTCTCTTTTTACAATCTCAGCACTTATCCCTTTCATGTTATTTTATGTATTTGTCTTGTTTAGTCTCCATCTCTTCTATGAAAATTAAAGTTCTATGAGGGTCGATTTTTTTGTCTATTGTTTTCCCAGCAACTAGACAAGTATTTAATGCATATCAAATGCCCAATAAATATTGGCTGGATGAATAATCTCTATAATCATTTTAAATGGCTATATCCTATTCCATCAGGTGCTTATACCAGGGTTTATGTAATAATTCCCTGCTGTGGGTATATTGGTTATTGCCAATCTTTCACTATCCCATAGAATGCTCTAATGCAGGGTCAGCAAGCATTTTCTGGTAAGGGTCAGATAGTAAATACTTCCTGCTTTGCAAGGTTTCTGTAACAAATAAACTCTGCCATTGTAGCACAAAAGAGCTACAAAGAATGGCTGTACCTAGATTTGGGTTGCAACAGGCTAGATTTAGCCTGTGGGCCCTGCTATCTGCTTTGTTGAATATTTTTGTGTACCTTTTTCTACCTTTCAATTCGCAGAATTACTGGATAAATGGGTTTGACTATATTTATGGCTCTTGGTAAATTCTGTCAAATTGCTTGGGTTCATCCAGATACCAGAAAACGCTTCCTTTGGCAGATTTCCAAAAGTAGCTGAATTGCCACCTTTACTTTAATATTAAACTACATGAGGGGAACATTTTCTCCCAAAAGATTAAAATATTAAGTTTTTCCCAGGAGATAAACTTTAGTTATAAAGAAATTCATTAATGTAGAGCTCTTTGTCTTCTAAAAGTAACAGATAAATGAAATGTATTATTGAACCAGAATTGCTATGGAAATGTTCACAACCTGAGTAATTTAGAAAAGAAGTAAACTCTCTGCAACAAATATACAGGGTGGGCAAAAGTAGGTCTACAATTGTTCATATGGAAAATAATAAAATCATTAATAAATAATACAAGAATAAACTCTACTTCGTGTACTCACAACTGTGAACCTACTTTTGCCCCACCCTCAATGTTGGCTTATAACTGTATTATGGAGCAGATAAACAAGAGAAGCTGTTAATAATCAAATTACTGCATCTCTTACCTTTTTTTTTAACCTACACAGATATATGTCCATATATATATTCCTATATATATATAGGAAAAAATCATACTTAAAAATAAACAAGGGCTTCTCAGCAAGCAGGACAGTAGCCTTGAATAATGCAATGATAAAAAAAATATATTAAATAGTAAATATTTACCAGGGAAAATGGAAGGGACAGAATATTTGCAATTAGAAAAGGTTAAGCAAGTGCTAGTTTTGCAGGAAACCAAGAGAGGATCCAAATAAGACATGTTCTATTCCTAAAATTAAAATTACTATAAAAAGGGTAAATAATCAGTGTGGCTGGTGTAGCTCAATGGTTGAGCGTGGACCCATGAACCAGGTCACGGTTTGATTCCTGGTCAGGGCACATGCCAGGGTTGTGGGATCGATTTCCCCAGTGGGGGGCATGCAGGAGGCAGCCGATTGATGATTCTCTCTTATCATTGATGTTTCTATTTCTCTCTCCCTCTCTCTTTCTGAAATTAATAAAAACATATTTTTTTTTAAAAAGGGTAAGTAATAAAAAAAAAACAATCCATTTAAGCAAAGAAAAGTAACGGAGACAACTTTGGATAAGTCTCTAGAATTCAAGAAAAAAAATTTTTTTAAATACTTCAACTAACAGAGTCTTTGATGATTAATAAACAGGAAACATTTTCAGGTATCAAGTGAAAAGATATTTGCAGTGGGTATTAATGAAATTCTGATTCACGGTGGTTGTAGGTTCATCTCCATTCAGGGTGGGTACAGGAGGCAGCCAATCTATGTTTCTCTCATAGTGATGTGTCTGTTTGTCTGTCTGTCTGTCTCCCTCCTTCCTCCCTCCCTCTCTCCGCATCCCTCTTTTTCTAAAATCAATAAAAAAAATTTTTTAAAAGAAATTCTGATTCTTTGCAAGTTTTTTTAAAACAAACAGGTAATAATTACTAGCAACTGTACACATATTACTTCTTGCCCTGCATATGGAGTTACAGAGACCATAGTTCAAGAGAAGAGTAAAGTGACAGGGAAAGCTACTCTCTAAGAAAGACCTGCTCCTTGGTGCTGAGACAAAGTTGCCTGAACAGAAGGAAAAGTGCTAGAGTAAAATGTGTAATTTTATGATAAGACTTTTAATGTGTTTAAAAGTTTATTAAATGTTTTAATGGCTTCTTAAAGTTTTTTAAAGATACATTTCACACCAAGTTGCACAGTTTATCTTTTGAGACATATATGATGGTGTTTTTCTCTCAGTACAAAAGGACCAATTACTGATGTCCTAGACCCCATCCCTTTGTTTCCTATATTATTTTAAGTGTGATAAAGCGTTTCTGAACTACATCTTCTTTGTCACTAGAGCCACTGGTATTACCAATATGAAAAAGTCAAAAAGCTTTCCAACTATTTAAAACTTTGCAAAACAAGCTTGAATACTGTTGCATAATTTGCCTTTCTCCAGAAAAGTATTTTAAACTTTGTTGACCTTGAATACAAGATAAAATTCAAAAATTTGCATTTTCAGTACTTTTGGATTCTTGACCTTTATTTGAATTTGAGACTAAGCGTTACCAAACAACAGAATTTACACTGTAACTAGCCAACCACAGTCCTCATTATGGAATCTATGCAATGCACTTGTTACCTAGGAAACAGAGCAGAGCACAGGCAGTGGGCAATTTCAGGATAGCAAAAGAATTCTCCCATCATGCTGGTAAATAAAGTCCATAAATCAACTAATCAAAAGCAAAGTCAAAAAGTACCATGTAAGAGTTAAACTTGACGGAACTTTTTTTTAAAGAAAAAAAAGAGAAACCTGTGGGGTTTCTTCTCGCAACTATGTAGACAGATCTCTTAAGCAAATTTTATGAACAGGTTTCTTTACAAACACAAACTGTCAGAAAATAAACTGTTCAAAATAAATGGCTTCTCTCCAATCTTCAGCTTCTCTATTTTTGACAGTATTAAGAGCAAAAGCTTCTTTAGAGCCAGCCTCATACATCTGGTAGCAGAATATTAATCCAAGAATAAATTCTACATTTTCTACAAGCAGCAAGAGTTTGCACTATTCTTAAACAATGCAGGACCATAAAGGCTGGAATAAAAGGTCACTGTCCACACCTCTCAGTCAGACCTGCTTCCCGACCAGGCTACAAAAACTGCATGAAGAATGATTTGAAAGTCATAAATCTATTTTAAAAAATAAAATTGTTACTTTTTAGTTTTCCATTTGATTATTACTAATGATAATACTAGTCATTTGAGGGTTCCAGTTAACATAAAGTGGCCATTTTGAGTTTCTTTTAAAGGTCCTACATGAGAACTAACAAACAGGAAAAGGCTAGAGAAGTCTATGGAATTTTAAAGCCTATCAAATTTAACTATGGGCAGCTTAGTGTTGTTTTGAAAGAGAATCTGGTAAACGTCAGTTTATACTGCTCAGTTACATTTGAAATCCAACTTTATACAAATTTAAAATTTCTTGAAGTAGCACTGATTTGTCACAATATCAAAAGCAGCAGGGAAAAAAGTCAACCATGAAAAGTGAAAAATAATTTATATGCCTTCCTAAACAACAACATACCAGAAGAAAATCAGTTGACAACATGTAACATTCTCTGGAATGCGTGTGATTACAGTAGAGTATTATTGTTAAATTATACAAAAATAAAAAAGTTAACATCTACAAATCATAGTCTAAAAACAAAACAACAACAAAAAATAGCCAGCCACATAAAGATGCTACACTGCCAATCCCAGAGAACTATTAAGCACAACTACAACTTTGCCAAGCAATTCTCAACACAGGCCACACTCTCTTACTCTTTAGCTTACACAGTGACTCTTTGTTAAACCTTATTGCTAAGACTGACAGCCCTGTAAATAAATGCATAAACAAGCAATTCAATTTGTTGGCTTATCCTTTTTAAAACTTCTAAGAGCTGATGAAGGGTGTCTACCTATGAGCTGAAATTCTGGGCGTGTTTTAGAACTCTACTGCACCATTCAGGACACACCTGAACAAATTTTAATACCTGTCCTCTTTGGGCCACCCTTAATGGAAAAGGAAGAAGAACCTTGCTCAAGGGCCTACCTGCAACTTTAACACTGAGCTCTGTGCCTTTGTGCAGACTTTAAATTCATTTTATCTAATCTAGACCGGAAGTCAGAGCAGGAACTAGTAAAATTTGATCAACTCACTGGCGTGATTGTTGTTAGATTTCGCCTCTTCTAGGTTTTAAGTGTACAAAAATATACACTCCAGACATTTACAAAATTAGGCATGTAATGATATTCATCTGTTAATGTAACTAGGGCAAGAATCTAGGGTAAATTTGTCTTCTAGAAAAAAAGGCATCATTTTAGGTATACCTACCTGTCTCTTCTTTATAATG